ATAGATTCCGTTAAAAAGCATCAATTATCAGTGAAAGATCGATGGCAAGTCGATTTTACTACCAAAAAAATTCACGGATTAAATTTTATAGACGAATATATATTAATAATTCTCAACCACATTTGGTATTAGTACAAATTGTAAACATTATTATCGCAAATTAATTTAATAATTTAATAATTTAAAATAATTTATTAAACTTTGTCTTATTTTAAAACTGTTAAATTTCCCCCACACACTAAAAGGAATTACTCAAGGTCAGGCATTGACAGTTAATCCTCAAACGATTTACTTAACGTGTATGGGCCCCTTAATTACTGTACTTCGTGGTGCATTCAAGTTCTATCGTGTCCCATTTTGTTCAGACAAAACACTCACACAAAAAACTGAAACTTTAGCCACTTCTCAACATTATTTCTCAGCATACGTTCACATTTTTCACACTGTCAACGCCATGACATTATTGCCGCTGCGACCGCTTCTTTAGAAGTCTGTTGTTACCACTGGAAAATCGCGAATGCTAGAGTGGCACGACTGGAAAATAGGCGACCACGGAGAGTGTCCTTCGTCGTTGGAAAAACCTAAAACTTGCTGGGAACAAGGTCAGCTGAGTAGGGAGCAGGAGAAACCACTTCAAAGTTGTTCTGTGTAAATATGGTCCGATGAGTTGGAGTATTGCTTTGATGGAAGAGCGCATGTTCAGCCTTTTCCGGCCGATTTTCTCGCAATACTGAAAACAATTCGTGATAACATGATTGTGAGCGTGAAGCAACTTGTGGACTGGTGCGCGAACATGGATGTTTCGGTTCGTTGTCACACGATTTTCGCCCTTCTTTGAGCTGTCGCTCCCACGAATGCACATTTTACATATCCATGACACCATCACTGCATGTATCACTCAACTGGCAATGAATTTCGGTGGGTGTCACTCAACACAAGTGAAGAAAGCAATGATTATGAGTTGTTCTTGCAATGAAAACATCGCCATTTTAAGTACAGTAGATCGTCGATTATCTGAATCAATTGGGGACTTGGGGACTGGGGTTGTTCGGAAGATCGATGTTTCGGATAACCGATTGTGTTCGAAAAAATATATTAATTTATCCCAAGTTGAAATTTTTCTTCGTTGCTTGTCGCTTCGCATTGAATTTTCGTCGATGTTAAGCCTAACGAAGACTATTGTATCGTTAAAAATTATTTTTTTTTATTTTGTACAAACAAAATTAATATATTGAGAAATATAAAAACAATAAAAACTTATACTTCAGAAGTTAATTTAGTATCAAAAACGTAAAATATTTGAGTAGCCCAAGATATAGCCAAAGATTGCAGCGCCACAGCACCAGCGAAAATTTAAATTTGCCGACTGAAATTCTTTCGGATGATTGACGTTCTACTGTATTAAAAACGTCTCTCTCACGAACTGCTGCTGCTAGAGTTCCGTGCGCCATGTGGTGCTATCCTTTCTGTTATACGACCACAAACAATGTCCGCTTCTTTTAAAATATGTATGTATGTATGTAGTTTAAATTTATGAGCATAAAGTGCAGTTGCTAAATGTGTTTAAGTTGTTTAAACTTATCCTATAGTGCTGATCAGATATCTCATTGGATGTTGTGTATTCTGCAGATACACAATTTCTTCATTATAGTAGGCAGGAGACATCCTCCTCATTGCCTGATGATTGGGTATACGTAAACTGTTCATATTGCCTGATGTATTGGGTATACGTAACATGTAACGGTAAACTGTTCATGAAGTATCATCTTAGTGGAGTAACTGTTTTTTGTCTAAACAATGCAGTGTCTGAGAATTATCGTCATAGGAGAAGAGCTCCAACAAATTTTCACTTGGTAGAACATGTTTCATTTCAGATCGAGATTTGATGGTCGTCAGAGTAATTCGTCTTCTTTTCTTATGATCTTGGTTTAAGGGTTACTTTTTGCTCTTTTGTTCCTAAGAACATAAAAACTGGAATGATCAAATAAGGTGCAACACAGTCATGTTTCTTGAACCAGAATCTATTTTCCCTTTTTCTTTGCACAGGCCACAATCGTTACAATGTTGAGCTGCACACTCACTTATTTCAGAACGCAACTTTCTGATTCGTGTTCTTATTATATCCGACCTGTTGCAATAGCGGAGGCACGCACAAACAATACTGAAATATGTTTGGGCTTACTTCACGTGACAAACTGTATGCTGTTCTTGCAATAATTGTAAACAACAATTTTTCGCTGCTACGTCTCATTTTTTTAGAATGCTCATAGCCGCATGGCTTTACAACAACAAATTTTTCTGAGCCATGACATTTTAAATTTAATTAATTTAATTAGGTTCTAGTTTTCACTTATCAGATTTAAAAATTTTAGTTTTAAACAGGGTGAAACGAAAGAGGCGTCAGCTCTCTTGACTGCTTTAGATGCTTTCTTCTGTTGGACAACTTTTACTCAGGCCACACTGTAGCCACGTAATTAGAATTCTGCATTTTGCATTCATTTGGAACACAGTTCAGATCTGCAGAATGCGATAGAGATGGTGGCTCACTATTAATTAAATATTCTGTTGAACTATTATAAAATCAGGCAAATGCTTAGTGCATACATCTTCATTCGGAATTGTATCATCATGGCAGATTCATTTATCTCCTGAGGATTCATCAAGTGCTATATTCATGTAACTGTAAACTGAACGCTTTTGTCAATGTAATATATCGTAATCTATAACTAAATGCAATGTCAGCCAGCAGTTTATTGCATTACCATAGGCTCTGTAAATTTTTTATTGGAAGCAAAGTACATCAGCAATAATATAACAACTACAGCCAGATAGGAAAAAACAAATTATCTAAAATTCGAGAGTCAGGAACAACAGATATTATGATAAAATGAAAATATAAGATGTGTTCAGTTATACAGCAGTCGGAATAAACAGCTCAGAATGAAGAAAACAGTGAATATACTAACTTCTTTCAGTTGATTCTTCACTTCAAGATTGTGACATGAGTACGAAAGAAGATTAATAAAACATACGTAGAAAGACCAAAATGACTTCAATTTCTCTAACCAGTTACGCCAATCTTCAACTGCAAAGACGATTTTTCTTTAGAGAATACGCCTCTGCAAAAACATGCAAAAAAATACAATAGAAAAGTTTTTTACTCGTACGCCACTCTTTAAAACTTTCAGGAATTTAGCAGCAAGATAATTGGATCTCTACAATCTTCTAAAGAAAATTAATGCATTATTTGTTTAAAAACTGATAAATATTATACTATATTTACCAGATATAATTAGCATTTTATTATTCTTGTTATGTAATAAATGATCTTTGTGTTTATGCTTCTCGTTTCTGATAAAAAGAGACAGGACAAAATTTGCTTTAATTAAATTAAAGCAAATTTTGTCCTGTCTCTTTTTATCAGATATAATTGTGAAGCACATTTATTAATAATTTAAGTGGTTACAGTTGTAGAAAAAATGTATAAAAAGTAGATAAAATTAAATTATGGAGTATCCAAACAATAATAAATTTATAAAACATTTATGTGAGAAAATAACAAAAAAAAACAATATTCGCGGTGTGGCGACATCCATCACTCCACCATCCATTCTGCCCACCTTGAAATCTCTAGATTTTAAGATTACTTGCGTTTTCAGGCAATCTGCACAGCTGATTGATGTTTCGAGTAAATATTCCGTTATTTGTTTTTATATCGACAACTCTGACATGTCCATCCTTGCCAGGTAAGTTCTTATAATTCTGGCCAAAATCCACTTTGTAGGTGGTATATTCTTTTCTGTTACAAGAACTAAATCATTGTACTGCAGGTTCCTTCTTTTTTCTGCCCATTTTGGTCTATTTTGTAGTTGGCTCAGATACTGCAAATGATAACGTTTCCAAATGTCTTGCACTATGTGCTGGAGTAACTGCCATTGGGGTAATTGATTCAACTTAATATGCTGAAGATTAGGTTCTGGTAAAGAAGTTAGGGCTTCCCCAAGAAGGAAGTGCGCTGGAGTTAATGCTGATAGTTCATTTGGATTTCACTGATTGGTGTCAGAGGTCGCGAATTCAAACAAGCCTCAGTGTGGTAAAATACAGTGGTTAATTCTTCATAAGTCAGAATTTGATTGCCTATGATTCTTCTCATATGCTTCTTGTAAATCAATGTAAATCCAATTAATTTGTTTTAGACACTTCAAAATACATCCCAAAAGCACATTTTATAGAGAATAAATGTAAAGTGTAAAATAAATATTATATTAGTGTTTAATATTAAGAACAATAAGAAATTAATATATAATGAATATAAAAGCGGTCGATTTCAGCAATCTTAATGTCGCTTTCGTATCTTTCAATGATTTCGTTCTTCAATTCGATCGTGTTCCTGGACTTCTTCTTCGAAGGACTGCTAACTCTGGAAACTTTCTTTGGTCTCATCATGAAGCAAAAAGGAAAGGAAAACAATGGAATTGTTTGGCTAGATACTCGGGGTAATAATGCTAACACAACATTAAACACGCCGCATTGGGCATATAAACACGTGGGTCGACTTTTGTTCGCGAAATTAGCATCCAGGTAACGTGAGCACACCGACAAAATCCGAGGAAAACGGCGAAACCAAGAAAAATTTTTTGGAAAATATCGACGGAAACTGAAGTCAATCGATACGATAACCGAAGTCAACGAAACTGAGGTATTACTGTAGTGTGTTTTACAGTTTTTGTTTAATATTGATCTCCTATTTTCGTAATATTATCATGCGGTGTACTTACTACATTATGTTTGTATTATATACAGTTTACAGTACATATATAACGAATTTAAATTATAAACAGTATTTTTAATAAATTTATTACACATACACTAAATAATATGTAATTAAAATAAAAATACACCATAATTGTTAATAATACACATTAGAAGTATAATAATTCCGCTCATCTCTATATTTAGCCACATCTCCATGTTATTGTTTCAAAGTACTGTGTCACAGCATCTCGGGTAAACTATTAATGTTATTACTTCGGATAATAGGATTCTTGTTACCTAAAACTATAATAAAAGTTTCTTATTCGATGAACGAAGTTTAAGTATCTTGTCTTTTCTGGAACACGGAAAAAATCGTAGATAGTACGACGGGTATAAAAAGCAATGCATGAAATGCCGTTTCTACAGCAATAAGTACTACAATTTTCACAAATGTCGACAGAAAATATACATCAGAATACAAAATCAATATTCCTAGACCCGTGGACAGAGAGCCTTGTATTACAGAAAACCCAATACGATACAAAGAATCTCTCATTTTCTCGTTCGCTCTCTTCTCGGATGACGTTATATAAGCATAAGACATGTGACAAGGGTAATTCACACTGAATCCAACACACAAAATTAGATTCATCATAGAGAATATATCTAAATTGACGCCCCACAATGACATGTAACCCAATGTTTCTATTATTGAACATACAACAGATATGGCAACAGTAAGGGCAACTAGAACGTTCGGTATCATTAAGAAAAAGATTATAGTTATTAAAACGGCCGTAATCCAAAATAATTGATAAATTGTGTGTTCTATGATTAAACCTTGCTCAATTACACTCGATTTAATACAGTGCACCAAAACAGGAATATCGGATTTTTCAGCAATTTTCCATAATTCTTTCAATGTGTCTCTGTCTGTTTGTGAAGAATTCAAATTCTTACCCATGATAAAAAATCTGCTATACAAGATGTCAGTTCCGTCGCTGTTGAAGACGATATCATTAGATAGTGACTTGGCTGCGCGTATTTTGAAGAAAACGTTTCGAAGACCATCGATGAAATCCTGTTTGTTCGACATGTTATAACCTCCTAACGAGAATTTCGCGACAGGGTTATTCTGAAACTCCTTATAAAACTTTAACCACGATACAGTGTTTTGCTCTTCTGCCACATGTGGATGTTGCTCGAATTTTTTTAAGAGATTTTCTATGGATTCTTGAACTTTTATATCTGAGTAATCCAATGTTTTGTTAATGATTATATGAAAAGGGTAAGAGTACTCAGTAAAATATGTAAATCTAATACGAGAGCTTTGTTGAAGCACAGTACCTTCGGCAAATAAATGCTCATACTTTAATCCCTGTTCAATAGAATGAGCACCCCAAATTCCAAGTGATAAATTAATGATATAGATAAAGACAACAATTATCTTCAAAACTGGATTCGATAGTATTTTTCCTAACACATCTTTAAAAAATACCATGGAAGCTTCTTTTTGAATTTCGTCTTCTGCCGAAGTGTTTTCTTCGAATTGTACTACAGTAAATAAAAACTTAAAGTTAAGATAAATTTAGGGATATAAATTTGAAAATACATAGGAATCATTAAAGTTTAGGCTCAACTCACACGTACCACTTTTCTGCGTTTTATTTTGTGGTTTTGCTTCAGTTTGATGTCGCAAAAAACGACTACAGTTTAGTGGTTTGCGAGTGGTAGGTATGGAACGGCAGAGAACCGCTCACAAAACTGTAGTACCAAAAATAATTTCGAAGAAGAAGCGTTGTGATTGATTTTATTTCGCCATCGAAAGAAAATTTTGTCTGTTCATTTTGTCTAAGTATATAAAAACGATGGCTAATTTTATTTACTTTATCAACGTTTAAAATACAATAGAAAGAACTGAGGTAGAACTGCCAGTTTTTTTATTGTACCTGAAAGAACTTATGTAGAAGTATCAGTTCTCATCATTGTTCTTCTCGTCTATGGACATCAAAAAAAATAAATTATTAAAGTGTAAATGTTGCCTGTGTTTAGATTTTCTAGGACCACTTTATAGTGTATTGTTCTTTTCTAATTCTCTGTTATATACGTTTTTCAAGCAACTTTATATTCATGGCATGTAGTTTTACAACTGAAAAAATTAATTATTAGTTAATTTTGTTACAGGTATTTAGCAACGGGATGTGGTGGTACACCAGTATATTTTTTGTGTTTTTATTTTATATATGTATATATAAGAATATTCTATTCCCCTTTCTCTTTGTTCTGTTTCTATACTTTCTGGAACTTTCGTCTGAATGTGGGTGGTCAGTGACCCAATTTCGGGACAAAGGAGTGAAGATAGCCCAGAGGGCAAGTGTGGGACGATAAGGACACTTTTGGCTTTGGACCGGAGGAGGAAAGACCGTCGGAGAGAGCGGTCTCGAGTTCGGTGTTGCTTCGGCCGGAAGGGTTACGAAGAACACTAAAGATAGAAATAGCATTGGAAGAGAAAAAGAACTTTGGAAAAGCCGAGATTTAAGAACGAATTTTGGGTCCTCGCATGTGCTCCGTCCCCATAGAAGAAAAGAATTCCAAGACGAAATCATCTTGTGGCCACCACCTCAGTCAACCATTCGGGTACTCGTTCCTTACTAGGAATTTCCATTTTTATTCTCCCATTCTATTCTAATTCCTGTCCTTCCTTTCCTCTTCTAGTTATAGGTAGTTTTAAGTTAGTGATTAAGTGTCTCCTTTGTTACGCGAAAGAAGAGTTTAGCTCCGCTGTAGATTAAAAGTCGGTGTTGTGTGTTCCCTTTTGTTTAATTAAAGTGAGGAACAAGGAGGTCGGAATCAACGAACCTTTCCTGTATATATGTTCATACAGTAAAATAAAGCACGTCTTATTGTTTTATATTCCTGTCTCTTTGTGAGAATTCATTCATCACCACGTGCTCACCACAGGGATATTCTTTTAGAGATTTAAATTCATTATACGTTTAGAAGTTCGTTTTGGGACTTTAGCTAATAAGTGGCTAAAGTGGCGTAGTGCAAGTACACTACAAAATTCACTAGGAAATCTGTCAATCGACTTTCCTACAGATATCGCAAAGGCATGCTTTGTATTATGTAATATAAGTTAGTACGCAAACGAGATGGTTATGTTATGGACAAAGTGATTAATCGGGCATTATGAATAATGACCAAATAGGGAGGGCAGTGTCAATTTGATAAATTAATCAATATTTATCACACTGCCCGCCCTATTTGGTCATTATTCATAATGCTCGGGCATTATTCANAGCAGTATTCATAATGACCGGTCAATTTGATAAATTATTGAAATTTATTACAATGCCCGATTTTGTTGGTCATTATTCATAATGCTCGGGCATTATTCATAATGCCCGTATTAATCACTTTGTCCATAACAGTTATAACTACGAAAATACTTTAACAATCCTTTCGAAATTTTTACAAAATTACAAGCAAGATATTACAAAGCTTTTCCACATTAATTCATTGTCGTCCACATGCAACGACCGTTTTGTAGTTGGCATATGGTTTTGAAGTGAAACGAGTGAGTTGAGTCTAAATATTGATAAAATTTTAAGACTTTATTGATATAATTTTTTTGTTTAAAACCCATTGAAAATTAGCCCTCCTGAACATATGTTGGTTTGGATTTGGTTAATGTTTCTTAAGTGGATATCTTCTTTAATCCTATCGGATATACTACTGGCATAGAGAAGAAAACAACTAAACAACAATAGTCGACGTTCACTTCTCATCTAAGCAACGGGCAAGTAGTGTCTAACACCTAAATAAAAGCTACATTTTTACATGCCAATCGTACGTCGACATTCCACGCCTGTCGTTTGTTGGTATTGCGCCCTTCGTCGGTGATGAGGTATAATGATTTCTGTTAACAGTTTTACAGGTCACAATCCGAGATGAACGTGTTGTGTGGCTTCTAAACAACCCTGTATTTATATTACAAACTCAAAAGTTACATGCACACTACTGAGCTCAGACATGTGCAATCACTCTAAATTTTGATAATTTGATACCACACCTTGATTTGTAAGTTTGAAGCCGATATCATAATTCTTTCAAGTGCTGCAATTCTCACATGCAGCAGTGTATAAAAACAGATGGCAGCTTATCGATACCCTGTCAAATTGATAAGTGATTATTTAGCCTTATAGATCGATGACGAATACGGATGTTCGTTTCCTGGAATAGGACAACTCTTTGGAGATCCGCAAAGAGTCGATGTTTACCGTAAGAAGTTTCTGAGTTAGACTGGCCTTTGTTTTCATATTAAATACATGAAAAATACAAAAACTACGAAGCCAAATCATTGGAAATGCGCAAATCTATGGCCCCCAGTGTTCAGTAGTTTCATCCAACCGTCTAGTAGTAAGCACGTATTCAGTTTCAATATATTGATGCAAAGGATAAATTACACATTCAACCTGATCCGTTGTAAATAGGCTAAGAAATCTTCAATGGGAGGAAATTCAGAAAAACATTCAAGATCAAATTAAATTTAACATACCTCGAGTAAAAGTAAAGGAAAAAAAATTCGACTTTTCTCTGTATCCACTTAACGCCAGGCAACCTCCGAAAAACGTCATCTGATACAGAAAAGTGAATACGATGCAAGTTGCTGTATAATAACAGAATATTCTAACAAAAGGAAACGGTCCCATCATTCCGATGCAATAAGAAATGAAGTTGGTGAGTGAAGTCAACGTGATGGAAATTCCAGCTTCGCAATACGTCGCTTCCATGCGTTTATCGACTTTCTGCTTGGGATTTGTGACCCTCCAGCATCCTATCAGTACGAATGCATCATCTATCTCGGTCACTAAAACATAAATAAATAACCAATCAGTTTGTTAACATTATTACGAAAGAAATCAAAGTAAATTTAGGAAACAACTTACCAAGCACTAGATATGGAATTGTGGCATTCCATGAAATGTTTTCTATACCTAAAGCCGACATTAATCCGAAAGAAGACACAACCGCTAATCCAGCCGAGATGACACTGGCTGCACCAAGAACGGGTTTACTTCTCACCCAACTATTGCTCATGCAGAACAATATTGAAAATATTATCATAAAGGCTACTAAACCTCCTATTTTAGGCTGTATTTTACGAAATTCTTTCCTAAATTCTTTCTCAATGAATAAAGGAGAATCGGGATAAGTATTAACATAAGTGAAATTATATTTCTGAATGGTGTCGTAAACAAAAGTGGACCATTGTTCAAATGTTTTTCTCTTCTCTTTATTCTTATCGTCTGTTGAATAATATAACATCATCGCATTAACTTCATCTATGAAGTTATTGTCATCCAGAACTACACCTCCCAAATTCGCGAAGTAAATTTTATAGGTGAAAGACAATAAATCTATATCAATGGGATATTTTAACTTTTTTCTTTTCTGCAGAATGGAGTTTATTCCCACTTCTGACATCACCTCAATAATCGGGTTTTGGAAACATTTGTTGTTATTTAAAGCGCACACATCGAGATAACCCTTCTGTTTTCCATCGCTATCAAATGTTACGTTTTGTACGACTTCATCGACTAATCGTACATCCGAAAGAACATTTTTATCGAGCATGTTTCCTCCGCCCCTTTTCAATAGGTACACGAAGAGGGCATTGGGTACACCAGGAAATCTCATTTGGTCAGAAAACTCTGCCGAATTATACGTAAAGGTATTTTCTACGAATTTCTTAGTATCGAAGATTTTCCCACTATCAGATACTACCATATCATAAAAATCTTCCTTTGTTTTTATGCTTATGATGAATGGACCCAGAGCAATGGATAGAATTACAGGTAAAGTAATGAAATAGTATGGATGTCTTCCAACTGCATTTCCGATCCTCTTGTAAATGAAGCAAAGGAATTTTCTAATACAGTCGATTTTCATTTTGTTGTCTTCAATTCAGAAATGTTGATAAAGTGTTTGCCTGCAAGGATTAATATTTATGAATGAAATTTAATTTAAAACTACGCCCTGCTTTTTCCGGGTAAATCAAACAAGAACAAACATCATTTAAAAAATCAAAACCACATTAAACGTTTGGATATTGCAGCTTGCCATTGCTTTATGTATTACAAAGGATGTGAGAAAGTTCATTTGAAGAGTAGTGAGCTTTCCAGGTGATACAGTAGCCTACATTTACCATAGGTTCCTTTGGAATAAGTACAAAAAAATTAAGGCAGATTGATCAGAGAATATAAAAATTATACATGGCCGAAAATCAGAAATGTGTCAGGTGTATTTATTGTGGAGTCCAATAAAATAAGCATGAAATATACAGTGTAGATCAGGGAGATTTGTGTATTAAGAGGATTGATTCTATCAGATTTTGGTGGTTAAAAGTCAACGAACTGGGGAGATAAAAGGGTCGTATATCATAGAGTTGGACTTAATGACGATTTTACTCTTTATTAGTATTTACAATATTGTATAAAACCCATCCTTACCCTAAAATTAACCTTTTTGCCATTCTATAATAATTAAAAATATTACTAAAATTATAGCTTTTAAACATTTAAAAATGTATTAAAAGGATTTCCCTTCAAGCAAAATTAATGTGGATCTTGAAGTCGTAATCTATTAATAAAAGAAGTAATTTATTCGCTAGCTAATTATGAAACAAGGCACTATAAAATTTAAAAACCAAGTAAAAGTGTTGCTTTTAAGTGTATTCGGAATATTTCTGAGGAAATTGCTTAATTTTTTATTATTTTAAACATGTATTTATGACCAGTTTTGAAGCTTGCAATCCTTCATTGTAATTCACTGCATGATCCTACAGTATAATCTACCTGAGTTTAATGGCACATTAGCGGTATATCTACATAATAAAAAAATATAAAGAGATACTCAATGAATACTAAGGTTAAAAAGGATAATATTTCAACCTAGAAAAACATAAGTTTATTTTAACTTGCTCTTTGTATTTTGAATGGATTATTTTTTCACCTCCTTTAAGTGTTAAAAATTACATATTCCTTTCAGAAATTTACAGTTTTCTTCGATAATAATGGGTTATTTTTATAAGCTATTACGTAGGAAGATAAAATTGTATCCTATGAGACTATCCTTAAATTTGCCAAGTGCTACATCTGAAAATTTTAAACGTTACTGTTAAATTTCTCGATATTTTGAATTCTTAACATATTATTCTGTCTGTTATTAAGAATTATTAAATAATATGTAACAATAAATTCACAATTCTTATTCAGTTAAAAAGAAATGGTAAATTGTCAGATTGTCTTTATACAGGACAAAACTTCAGGCAAATAATTTCCTCGTTCGAAATCATATACAGTAACGCTACTAAAACTGATATTAAGGATTGGTAATTATGATACATGTGGAATCCTACATTCACTCTCGTAACTGCCCAACAGTGGCTAAGCGGTTCCCTTTCCTCTAACAGTGGGAGTTCGGTTGTGGGTTCTCGCCTCGTCAGGATGGGCGGGCCACGTGGTGTTTTCTGGGTTTTCTCTACGTCTATAACGCCTAAATAGTGGCAGTTACCCTTTAAAAAACCTTCCGGAAGGCATCCACCCATAGGAAGATCGTTCAAATGTTGCGTTGCCGTAAATTAACAAATAAACATTCCTGTAACACTATTCATATATCCCCTAGAAGTGTGGATATAGAATAACCTGGAACCCTCGGTTATGCTACTGTTTATGTCAAGTAAATACAAAGTCTAAGCTTCCTTATGATTTTATGTTACTTTATGAAATATTACCCTTTATAAATTTGAAACAATAATAAAAATTTACAACTAATATTTCATCAATTAACTGGACCTGTTGTCAGTGAATAACTGGATAAGTTTGAAAGTGAGAGTTAATTGCGGTTCGCACCTCACCAAAGCTGGCCACGTATTTTTCGGGTTTTCTTCACGTATTTAACAGTTAAATAGAGGCCAGTTTTTCATAATAATATCTTCTGGGATACTCCTCTTAAAAGATCGCTTAAGTGTTGTCTTGCCTTACAAAATGAAATGCAACCCACATTTACAGAATATAAAAAGAGTGTTTAAATTTTGAATTCCCTACAAAATGACATGAATATATTTACAAAAATATACTTAAAATTCAACAGAACGTTAAGGAAGTTTCTAAAACATAAATTATGATGGTGAAGCTGTATGATATGCATCTGTCGGTTTTACCACGTTTTATACTGGTGTAAACCTGTAGGAAACGTGGAAACTTTTCATTTTTTCTTGTTTGATACTTGAACAGTTCTACTTGTAAATATATTAAAACTTGTCTTATGCGGACTTGCCAAACAGATAAATCTAGTAACTTTTCAAAATACCTTTATAAGCCGGAATCATGTCTGAAGTAGAAGAGTGAAAGCAGATGGAAAGAATTGTATAACATAACTTGGATAAATCGGTGTATTTTGGCATAACTACATCTAAATTCTGGGCTTGGCTGATGGCAACACGTAAACAATTTGCCAGGGAGATGCCTCCCTTCATTTGGAAAATTAGTACTAAATTAGGTGTAAGACAAGTAAAGAAAACCCGAAAAATTCTGTGGTCAGTCTATTGATAAAGCAGAAACCCGTGACTAATTGCAAGTGTTCGAGCAAAATTCTAAAGTGTAGTTAATGCTGTAATATTCTGGATTTACTTCTCGATGACGATAGTTGCAGTCTATCAGCTTTTACTTTAATTTCTACTCTTTAGCTCCACAATATAATGCAACTGTCTAGAACAATTAATTAATTCGCCTTCGCTTCCCACCTTAATCAGATTTTAGTGTAAATATCAACTAAACTCTTAAAAATATTTTGGATGAAGTTCCTCATCAACTGGCTGCTCTTATTCTGTGGGCTTGGCCAAATCTATTAATGGTGTCATTAAATCTTTCTTAGGAGGAAAGACACAAAAATTGTAGATTTTAGATTAGCACCGCAACATAAATTAAGAGGTTTGTGCATATTTTCCAGACGGAAAGACATAATTAGATGGAGAAATCAACCTGAAAAAGTAAGCAATTCAGGCAGGTCACTTTACGGTTTCTTGTATGATTTAAATGAAATGTATGGTACGTGAAAGCAATTCTTACAACAAGTAATCAAAAATATCACTTCAGCATTATTAAGGATTTTTGATGGGGCAGTATCTTCATAAATTTCTGAAATCTTCATAAGAATTTCATAATGGAGCCAATCTTTCGAAAAAAAATGTCGTTGAGTAGGTCAAAATTTACGTTTTTTTTTCTGTGTTCTAATCAAAAATATTTTTTAAGAAGATAATAAATGTTAATTTACTGTAAGACACGCTATCCATATTTAACAACCATTCCTTTCAAAAATGTTTCATTTTTTTACGTCGGTATAAAAAATTACTTAATTCAGAATTGATATAACGTATTCAAATGCTTTCTTTCACGTATGACATATTTAGTAAATAGACACATTTAAAACTGTCGAAATACCGAATATTTTAAAACAGAATCGTTTCCAATGTTGCATCTTGCGAGTTATTACACTCTTAAAAAAGATTTTTATCTAAAATACATATTTATTTTTAATTTTGACCTACTCTATAACATAGTTCGGTTGCTATATGAAATTTTTATGAGGATTTTTAAGAGTTCATGAGAATGACTGACCTCGTAAACTATGGATAAAAATACTTTTTGACTATTCAATTTAATAACGCATTTTGCATGACAATCAATTAGGTAAGCTCAAACATGGATAAATGAACTACGTCTAAGGTAACTGAGTAACATTCTCTAAAAAACGAGTGTGTACGGCTGTGTGCCCCATACTTCGAAAATATTGTATACTCATTGAAACATATATTTTTTCATATAGTGATATTCTGAGCTATCAATAGGCTGACCACTTTGGATTTTCTGGGTTTATTTCTAGTGTCTGACACCCTAAACAGATGCCAGAGTCCCACAGAAACACTTCGTGGAAGGTACCTCATGTGTTGCATTATTTTATTCCGCAAACCAAACCAAAATTCTCTTTTCCCTGTTGGCAATAAGAGGGCATTTTTCTATTCTCACCAATACTCCTGCCAGACTCAGTTGATGGTTGAGCTACGAGACACAACACATTGCTCGAGAGAGATTGCTATGTAATTGTTCTCCTGTATTTAAACCCGAATCCTTCAGCAAATTGGGCTGATTTTTAACTCCTTTGTAATCCTTTATTTCGAGTTTCTCTAAGAATTATCAATATCAGAGACTAATACTTCAAGAATTTCTGTTGATCAGCAAGTCAGAGGTTTCGTAAGAATAAAATCTACTCCAGAATAATTAATTATGTTCATCATCAGGACTGCAAGTGCAGATATTTATCCAATAACAATACATTGATAAATATGCCTACCGTGAGGACATACAATATCTCGAAATTATTGAGAGTGCAACTCTTTACTAACATCTACATATTACAATTATCTTCCTTATCCTAATTCAAAAGATAATTGTAATAATTATAATATATTTTAATTGTTCTCGAGCTCTTACAATACTTTTAGATTTCGAGTTTGGAAAATTGTTACATACCTGTAGGAGAAAAAGACGAGATATAGAATCAAGTAGCTACGATAGGAGAGAGTAACAACCTCTCTTCATTCGTCAGTCTCTAGGAATTTATCATCCAATAAAAAATTCGAATGGATAAAGCCGTTGAACACTGCTCAACGTAACAAAGAACGTCATCTTTGATTAGCCATACGTGACGTAACTTACCGCAAGAAGAGCTTTAATGAACACAGACTTATGAGGGTGACTGTAAAAAGTTTTTTCTCAAATCTCACTAATACAGTTCGATTTCTATATGTCGTGACTTATATCCTTATTAACTCTTTTTAAACAAATAATAACGCCATTATATAAACCTTTTTAATTCCTTTATTCATAAAAATCAAAGAATGTTGAAAAATTTATGGTCTCATCACGTGCACGAAGTGATAAGCCAATTTTGATTGGCCGACGGTAAGGTTTCTACCTTTAAGATTGTCTGCGAATCGATCCAAAGTAACGTAGTTGTTGTCCTTAAATGTTTCTTGATATATAACAAGGTTACGTCACGTCTCTTATGTTACGATATGCGTGCCTTTCTGAATTATAATTCTACGTGATCTTCTACGGGGAAGTCTGAAGCTAGGTCAAGTTCATAGTGTACTTTCTTCTATTTTTTCCGGCTATGCTCAGAAGTAAGCTTGAATAAAAGATGCAGTTGAGAAATTTCGTTCTGATTTGTAATTTTTGAATATGTTCTGCCATTGTTCCATGACCAGTTTTTTTGTTATTTGTAAAACTTTCTTCTTGATTGGATGCAGATTACACCAAAAATCAGCATTTGTGGTACGTTAACATTAATTAATAGAACCGTTGAACTTGATCCTCAAGATTAATTCTATTCCACAGATGAGGTTCTACGGTTCTCATTCGTGTGCATCAGGCATTGCATTTTTCTCTATAACTTGTATCATTTTGTTCGAATTCGATTTATGATATAGCTAGATTCACATAGATTACGTGGAATTGTTTTTTTGTATTAATTTTGTGATCTTGAAATATAATAGTTTCTCCTCAGTTTGACATGGCCACGCGGGTTTTTCCGTGTGTGTAACACCTAACTACGTGTCCTTATTAATATACAATATTATAAGGCCTTATTACGTAAATGCTTTCCTATCCTACTTTCAAAATTTTTGATAAGGAAAGGGTTCATTTGAACTCTTTCCTTCTTAAGTAGACCCAGTCTGAAAAATGAGGAGACATAACGATATTATTTTGTTAATACGACGAATGTTAATTCTATTTGTGTCAGCACCTCATTACTATTGGAGGCATCGCATTCCCTCACAATTCAGTATGATTTTATTTAATGCTCAAAAATTACAGGGGTTGCTTCAAAGTATTAATTATATGTCGCGTAAACAATGAACACACTAATCACAAGGAGAAGTTCCAACTAATGTTACTGTCCAATGTATTAAAGAATACACACAAATAACTCGTGCCTCAATTTCACAAAGATTCGTCATTTAAATATTTAACTCTATCAACTTTCGATCAGTGACTGCAAAACAACTAGATTGTTCTCACGTTTCCTTTTTTGGGGGGAGCATCAACACATCCCAGTGACAACGAAGGCTCATCGAACGGAGTACAACTTAGCCCATGCTGACATCATCTATAGATTTCCTATTTAAGTTGTCTATCTAGGTCCCTATGTAAGACTTTTGTCCAATAAAACCGAATTTATGTGATCTAGAGACGAAACCTTGTAAGGGAATCACTCTCTACAACAAATAGTTTACTATCGAAATAATATCGAAGCTTACTACATTTTCTTGAACTGTTTCCACCCAGTGTAGGCAGTAAGAAGGCCTTTTTATCAAGACCATTACGGCTTTGGCCTAGAACACAATGGGATGGCCATGTGGTGAAGAAGGGGCAAGATGTATCCGGGACAGTCTGCCCGTCAAATATTTCCTGGGGTTTCCTCGACTAGTCCAGATTCGATTCCAGATCACCAGAGGGCTGTGCTTTCACCTTAATTGTCGGCTATCCGGTCTTGAAAAATCACGTAAAGAAAGTCAACAATTGATTAACAATATTTCTATTTTTCGACAATAAGTAATATTCGATGTATTATTTATTTTTCTTTCTTCACATGGAAAGAGAAGATAGGCATTCGCACAGCTCTGATTTCAGAGAAAATTAAAAACAAGGAGAACTTCTAACAGTGAGTAAATTATTTAATTATACAAAGAAGAAGATGATCGCCGTATTTCAGATCGCCCGTACTACAGTCACTACAGACATGAATGAGACACCGCCGATTCTAAGCGTTGGTTGATGCAGGATGATGGAACTTTCTGCTACAAGATTCGCACTGATGACAGGTATGTCAGGTATGTCCTATCCGTCAAGAACCATGTAAACTCTAATGTTTTTCCGTTTCAGGAAGATGACTCAAGACAACGCATCGAGATCGAATTCAACCAGTGGAGTCATTGTTATCGTATGATAAATTTAATGATATTCTAGTTAATCTATTTTATTATATTTTGTAGTAGTTAAATGGGTGCAATCGTCCGGAAGCTTTACAGCTTATTTCATTTTTGTTTGGAAAGTAGTTACACTATGTATGTGTTACCAATAATGTGTTCTAATTGAGAAAAAATTGAAGGAAAGCTGATTGGAAAAGATAGTATAATAAATAAAACAATGTACTGTACGTTTCATTTATTAATACAGTGTAATTTAAAAAATTATTACAAAGGTTTTCTATAGGGGAGATCGGGGCAAGATCGGCATGTTAAGCTTTACTTAAATTTTGTGTATTAAATACTGCTGTAAACTGAAAAAAAAAGCTTTGCATATTGTCTATTGGAATGTTACCTTACTATAGAACTGGTTAAAATCAGTTTGGAAATAAAAATAATTAAAATAATTACAACTTTACAAGAAGAGAGAAATTGACGAAGTTGCCCCGGGTATAGGGGCAAGATCGGCAACTTCTCTCTTTTTGTAAAGTTGTAATTATTTTAATTATTTTTATTAAAGTTGCCCCTGGTATAGGGGCAACAGTAATG